ATACCCTGCAGCCAGTTTTATCAATCACCCTTTCAATTCAAGGACACAATCTCTCTCAGGAAAATTATTAAGCACCTCACATAAGTTTTTTAATCTAATATAATCTTCCTCTTGTACAAATGAAATTTAGCAGGGTTCAAATGTAGGGGAGTAATAGTTGTCTGAGTCTTTTATCAGTTTTTATGGGCACCCGGCCAACATTTTAGCAGGGGTCACTGCCTGCTCAGCTTGTGGGTTGCCCCTCCAACATTTATGCATTTCCGAGTTTGGCTTTGAAATGGCAAAAGAGGTGACATAAAGCTCCCATGTAAAGTGACGCCCCCAAATTGCACAGGTTCATTAAGTGATCATTTACTACATACTTCAGAAAAATTTCATCCTGAATTAGTCCCTGGAAATTTCCTTGAAAGGGGTATAAGAGCTTTAACAATGAATTATTGTCTATGGATAGCTCAGCATGAAAAAGGATCCATATGTGCAAACTAGAATTTGTCATATGTAATGTCAGTTAAATCAGGTCTAATCTACCAAATACATTTTTTATTGCTTGCTTCATTAAAAAGGCTCTTAAGGTAATGAATAATCTTGAGCTTCACCGAGGATTATTAATGCCTTTATAACTCATGTCCACTGAAAATAGAAAGACAGGTTGAAACTCTACCCTAATCTAACCTCCATGTTTGTTTTAGTGCTGTAAGAAATAGAATCTATCAGCCCTATCCAGTGTTCCGTCACACGAACAGTACTCTAGATTGAGTGGAGAGAAGGAAGTTAAAACAGGCTCAGAAGCGATGACACAGTGCACTTTTGTCTTCATAACTGATGTTTTCTTCCCCTACAGCAAGTCCACATGCAACACCATCGACTCTTCATTTTCCGACGTCACCCATTATCCAGCAGCCTGGGCCTTACTTCTCACACCCAGCCATCCGCTACCACCCTCAGGAGACGCTGAAAGAGTTTGTCCAACTTGTCTGCCCTGATGCTGGTCAGCAGGCTGGACAGGTGGGGTTCCTCAATGTAAGGAAACCTTTTTTTCCCCTTCATTTTTTTAGAAATGTTAGTTGAATGTAAAAATAACAAGGAGAGACCTTATGATCATGTGGCAGTGTGCTCTAATGTTGTGCTGACTGACTGCCAGCAAGTGTCATATTTATTCTAGATTGTGGGAAAGTTAACTTGTTCTAAGAGTGATTGGCCAGGCTTTCAAAACAGTGTTTGTGTTAAATTTGCAACTGTCAAGCTTATGAATATAAATCATCTCAAGGATGAACTATATAACCTTCCAAGGTCTGTGGGTTGATAATTCCACCTCATGCATTCTAACCCAGAGGCTCATGCAGTTAACAAAATAGAAAGACCAAGTAATTGAAAATAATGATTTGGGATGGTCAAGAGAGGTAGGGGGACAAGGGAGACAGATGTTTCATATCAACTCAGTTGATATTTTTAAAAAATATAGTCTTCTAACACTTTAGATCAAGTTGACCAGTACTTGAACTCAAGATGCTAAAAGTACAGTTTATTATGATTTGTTATTTCTGCAAGTAATTATCTTTTCTACTTATCTTTGTATAAAGTTAAGCAGTATTCAATAGCTTCAAATTAATATATTGTGGTTTTTCTCTCATATAAACCATATAATCATAATTTAAAATAACATTCCAAGTAGGAAAGTGATGTGACATTGTATTTTAAAGCTAGAGTTAAAGGTTGACAATGGATAGTTATATACTAAGATTATGACCACTATCACTACTACTACTATTAATAATAATAATGAACATAAGTCCTAATTTAATTTTCCTTTCTCCTAATTACTGCTAACAGAGCCACAGATTCGCCATAATCATTACTGAACTCAGAAGGCTGTGTCACACTGCCCTCCCACTGGTTTTCTTCCCTTGCAGAAATACCTGATTCTGCATATCTGAACCAGAACAGGCAGCTTTGACTAATGTCTGGTGATGTGTTAGCAGATACATTTCTGTCTAGACAACAAATCAATATGGTGCCTCTTTTCTTTTTGCTTGTGTATTCATTTGCTTGGCTCATTCTGAAGCATTCACTTATGGACTTTCAGCCCCCCTCAGAAATAACACACAGGCAAGCTAGCTGGCCAGAGAGCCCTGCATTCCGATTGGGAGATGAGATAGTCTTTGAGGAACAATACTAAATATATAAGTGAATGTTGATGGGAGAGTGAGATAGCCTCAGTGGAATGATTCAACTTAAAACATAAAAACCTGGGACAGCAGTTTACCCTTCAGCCACATTTTGATTAGTGACTTCAGCTTACAGTTGTTTCTTGACTAGTGTCACTAAAGTCTGAATATGTAGTTAGAAATATATGAGAAACTTGGAAGGTATAACTCAGCTTTAAACATTTTACAAATTTTACAAATCCCCCCCTTTTATTTAATAGTTCTAACACCATCTAATATAACTACTGAATTCCCAGTTTCATATTTTGATCAAAATTTTATAAGGCTTCACTTAGGGCAGGTCTCTTCATGGTGCTGTTTTGCACATCTTGAAAACAAAATGGAGATTAGCTAGAGAAGGAAAACTTTTCTTTTGTTAAAAGCTGTCATTTGACTGTTCTAACATCAGGCAGCCAAATAAATATGACTCTTATGACATGTGCTTATATAATTTAAATCAAAATTAGAAGTGATATTTTTCCCTCACAGAACTCTAACAACAGCTGAATTCGGAAGTTTCTGTGCCTGATGTTGTACAATATGTGAAAGAAATGTTTTTTATGTTCACTTGACACATTTATTAAATGTTATATAATGTAAACTTTGAGGAGTGAAAGGAAAATAATTTTTATTTAACTTCAGGTTTAGGATACTTTGTTATATCTTTGTAAATAGGTATGACAGTGTGTATTCGTATTTATTTATATATATATTATAAATATATGTATGTATGTATAATAAAGCACCTACAGATTAAATAGATATTTAATAGTTACAAGAATGATGAAGGTAATAGCTTACCCAGAATTGAAACATGACCACTGGTAGGTTCGCTTTATGGAACTAAATTCAAAATGAATTGCTGTTGAGTTACAACAAACTCATAGCTACACAGGAGAAGATATTGCCCATTTTTTTTCCACATAGCAGTTGGTAGATTCAAGCTGCCTCCCTTTTGGTTGGCAGAGCAGCTCCTTATCCACTAGGCCATAAGAGCTATGTACCTAGGCATTCCCCACCCACCCACCCCCTAGAAAGATTATATAGTTCCAGAGATAAGTTTAAGATACACTGAGCTTATGAACTTAAGAAGGAATTTTTATGGAATGCTTTACCAACAGAATTCTCTCTATATAGACTTACTGAAGAATTTGACCAGCTAGAAAGCTAATTTATGTAAAAGGCACCTAATGAAATTTTTTGTTATCAGAAGTCGCTAATGGTTGATGTCTGTTTCTTCTTTTTCTTGTTTGTGATTTCTTTTTCCCCATCCATGTAGCCCAATGGGAGCAGCCAAGGCAAAGTACACAACCCATTCCTTCCCACCCCAATGTTGCCACCACCGCCGCCGCCACCAATGGCCAGGCCTGTGCCTCTGCCGGTGCCAGACACCAAGCCTCCAACCACGTCAACAGAAGGAGGTGCAGCATCTCCCACCTCACCAAGTGAGTATGATTAAGACGAGGCGTCGGTCACTTAGAAAACACTCCTCACTTGAGTAGACCACACCTTAGCTTTGCTTGGTGCCACTCAAACTCAGGCAGGAAGTTCCCCAGTGAAAGCTGTAGTAGAAATGAGACCTGAATCAAAGGAACACTGTTCTTACGGTATGATCAGCTATATCAGACATGGAAAATAAATAATGCTTGGGTGGATAATATGGTAAACTATGTACCTATGACTGAAATAAACATAAACTATTATTATTACATATTATTTGAGTGACTAAGAATACTGTTCTCATGATCACCGATATCACATTGCATGTATTCTTGTTAGCAAAAAAGTTCCTCATACTTCCTTATAGTCCTATTTTCTGGGAACTTGAAGTCCAAGAGGAATGCACTTAATGAGATATACAGGTTCTATAACTCATGTATAAAAAAGGAAAAAGAAAGTTTAGAGTATTACTTCAAAGAAATGTATATTGGACATTCACCAAGAGTAAGAGGTAGGCAGAAGATCTGAACAGGCAGCCTTGGCAATTTCATGGTGAAGCTGGATAAAGGGAGGAGATTAAGGGTAAAATTGGATTGAAACAGGAAAGACTTCTGACTCTCCTCTGAGTAGTTTGGGAACCCTTGATGAGAAAATAGAGGCTTTCAACACACTTCTAGATGATGAGCTTGTTTGCTACATGAATTTGAATGAGAACAATCCTCCAGATATCTCCTGATTTTTTAGAGTCAGAAAGAAGACAGAAATAGCTATAACATACATTGGTTTTGTTAGTACCTACAACAAAGACACAAAGAGTGAGGACGGGAGGCAGAGTTCCTAGATAGTGATGGACAGCTTCCCTTGATAGATGGTGGGATTACCATTTTCCCTTAAGCTTTGGGAAGAGATCAAGGTACAAGAAAGGCAAATGAATATGACAGTGAATGACAGTAACTCTAAAGAAAGACTTCAAGACAATCTTCACTGGAGATAAGACTGGAGCCAAGAAATCCAACTTCTTGTTGTCGTTATGTGCCATTGAGTAGCCTGTGATTCATAGCGACCCTATGTACATCAGTTCTGATGCCTGGCTTGTCCTGAGTCAGTCTCACTGACTCCAACACACCTATCTCCATTGCCCCAGTTACTGTATTAACCCATTTCATCCAGGGTCTTCCTCTCCTGTACTGTCCCTCCACACTTACCAGTACGATTTTCTTCTCCAGTGCCCAAAGTATGTGAGATGAAGCTTAAAAAAAAAAAAAAAGCCTCCAAGGAGAAACTTCATTTACCTTCTCTAAGACAGATGTGTTTGTTTTCTTGGTGGTCTACGGTATGTTCAAGACTCTTTTCTATCAAAAGTGTTGACTCATCTTCTGTCATCCTTAGTCATTGTCCAGCTCTCTGATGCAGAACATGTAATTGTGAAGGCCATGGCCTGGATTAGGTGCATCTTAGTCTCTAGACTGGTATCGTTGCTTCTCAGTACTCTGAAGAGATTCCTGACAGCAGATTTTCCCAGTACAATCCATCTTTTGATTTCCTGACTGCTGGTAGCAAGAGTGTTTGTTGATTGTAGAGCTGAGCAAGCTATAATGTTAACAATTTCAGTCTCTTCTTCATCTATCATGGTGCTGTCAATTGACCCAGTAATGAGAATCTTTGTCTTCTTGATGTTGAGCTTCACTCCATATTGGAGACCACAAGCACTTTAGGTCCTCCTCAGTTCCAGCAAGCAAGGTTGTGTTATCTGCATAATGTAGGTTGTTGATGAGTCCTCTTCCAATCCTGATGCCACATTCCTCCTCATAAAGTCTAGACTCCCAAATGATCTGTTCTACATATAGACTGTAAAGTTATGGAGACAGAACACATTCCTGATGCACTCCTCTCTTATTTTTGAACCATGCAGTGTTTCCATGCTCTGTTCTGAGAAGTGCTTCCTGGTCAAAGTATAGGTTTCATGTAAGCACAATCTGGTGTTCTGGGATTCCCATTCTCCTCAAGACTAGCCACAATTTGATGTGACCGACACAGTCAAACATCTTTGCATAGTCAATGAAACACAGATAGACAGTCTTCTAGTACTTTTTACTCTCTGCCAAGATCCATCTGACACTGACAATAATGTACCTCTAGTGCCATGACCTATACCCAGCTTGTATTTCTAGCTTAGGAAATCTAATTTAGGAAAGGATTGTTGTAGACTAGAAAAGAAGCATTAGGATAGAGAACTTGAACAGCAATTATAGGAGTTGAATGTGAGTCAAGGAGATGTATACACATTCAGCTGAGCTTTCATGGCCATTTGCATGTTGTTGTTGTTAAGTGCAGTCAAGTCATAGACAATGCATTGCAACCCTGTGAAAGAAAGACCTGAACAATTGTGTAATTTCCATCTTTTCTCCAAATTCATGGAGTTTCCAAAGGCAAGCTATTTTAAAAGTGGATGATACTCCTGCTTCCAAGTCTGTTTTAATCGGGAGCTCCACCAAACACTCTCCACCATGGGTAATCATCACACATTTGACACATCAGTGTTTGGCATCACAGCAACCATGAGTTACCTCTGTACAGTAAATGGACAGACCAGTGTTATACCACTTAGAAGAATATTTGACCAAAAACAAATCCAAGCCAGAGGGCCACAGATTAAAATCACCCACCACTGGCTTGGTAGCGTAACTTTCTATCCACTAGGCCAAGAGAGCTTTCTCATTGTTGTTGTTGTTTGTTGTTAAGTGCCATTGAGTTGTAGACGTCTCATAGCAACCCTATGAACGAAAGACCTGAATACTTGTATAACTATCATCATTTCTCCAAGTTCATAGAGTTTCTGGAGGTAAGTTGTTTCGGAAGTGGATGCCACTGCTGCATCCAAGCCTGTTTTTATCAGGGAGCTCTGTCAAACACTGTCCACCATGGGTAACCATTATCACATTTGACACATCAGTGTCACAGTGTTTAGGGTCACAGCAAACAATGAGTTAACTCTGTATAGGAGGCTATTTACAGAAGTATAGTAAATATATAAACATAGCTGTGGACCTCTGAGTCTTTTCTTTAAATATTGGAAGGAGAGTGGAATTGAGCGCAAGAGGAAAAGCCAAAGAAAAAAGATGACTTTGTTTCCACCATTCTTATTATATTTAACTATGTGGGTATTGAATAAAAAAGGCTTAGAGTACCTTATGGACATATGGCTGAGAGTCAGCTTTGAGTTCTGTAATATTTATAGATTTTTCTAAAGCATGCAGATTATTGGCATCATGTATAGCTTCTATATTGATAGTAAAAAGATTACAAGTTCAGGAGAGGTTTTAGGTGACTCTACTAAGACCTTTGACCAGATGAATTGACATAGTGACTGTCTCAATGGGCTCAAGTATGTCAGAGATGATGAGGGTGGCACAGGATGGGATGGTTCATAGAGTCACTATGCAAGCTGAGTGCAATGCTACATAACAACAACTACTTAGTAAAGTAGTTTAACAACTCTTAGTAAAAATTGATTCAACACCTGTCAACAAAGGAGAAAGCCCTTAAGTATCCAGATACCAAGGAAACAAGCTAGACCTGGCCTACAAATCCTGGAATCCCAGAGAAGCAGATACTTATAGGAGTGTTCTGTTTACTGTGGGGTTTGTATGTATCATCTTTTAACAAGTCAGAGAAACAACTGCCTCCAGACTCTGCTTGTTCCTTCACTGGGGATATTGGCTTACAGATTGGCAAACCTGCAAATTGTATCAGCACACACCTCTGCATACACTGCAGTTTACCTTGTTCTCTTTTTCCTCAAAGACATTGCCATAGTCCTTTAAATTCTTATAACAATAATGCACAGCCCATATTATGTAAACCTATTTTCACTTCTGCTATCAGTGTCTCACGCATTCTTAATGGGTTTTCCAGTAATGGCAGCAGCGCTCTGCTAAGGCAGAGTGGCTGACTGGAAACGTGATATATGGCTGTTGAAGCCTAAATGCCCTACCTTTTTAATGTGTTTCTCTTCCCATCAGTTTCTTCATCAGTAAGATGCTGGTGATAATACTGAACATAGTAGGTTGTGTTAAATCAGCTACAGTGAGCATTGCCACCAAAAACATTGGATAAAATACATTTTGTTGCCTACCAAAATGCATGCATACCTACTGGAGGATCTGGGGCTGGAGTACTGGTGAAATGTGTCTGTAGGACAAGTTGAAGTTACTCAACGCTTCAATCAGTTGTTTTTCCAGTCCATAATTTTGGACTCTCATTCACAAATTAAACTAAACACCTTGTAAAGCCTATACCTGTCCTTCCTCTTATGCTCAACTGAAAACATCTTAGCACCATTATGGGGGAGTCTGGCTGATTCAGCTCATGTGGTCACAAGGCAGTAAGAGCAGTATCTCCAAGTGTTAGGAAGGGAAAGGAATGTTAGTAAAGGGGCCCCAGTTTGATACTGACAATTTCATACTAACATTTTTAATCAAGAATTTGAGAATTCTCTAATCCAGAATTTGAGGAAAGTAAACAAAATAAAAGGTTATACTAATAGTGTGCAGAATTCTTATCTGTTTACATACATAGTTGCCCTGGTTGTTGGACCTTTCTGGATATACTGAGTTCACAGGAAGATATTCTATCAAAAGAGTGTCCCCTTACGTTATCCACTTATAAAAGAGGGTGTTGATGAAGTCTCTCATTATTCTTAAGGCTCACTGGTCCTGGCTGTGAGGGTATTTACAAAGTCCACAAAAAATAAACCAAAATCAATGTATATGCCCTGATCTCTAAGCCATTTGATAAATGTAGGCAAATAATCAAATGAGATACTATAATATCCTCTTCACATTACAGAATGTGGTTATGTCTGTAGGCTTGTGAGTCTACAAGTTCCACAGATGTATCTATCTGTCTCTATAGTGAGAGACCACCACAGGTTTTCCTGTGTGGGGTCTGCCCGCCTGTGGGAAACTGAGAGTCTGGAAGTGTAGTTTTTTCCTTGGCTTTCAAG